ATCTTTTATGTTTACCTGGATGGAGCTGGAACATATTATTCTTAGGTAAAGTATCTCAAGAATGGAAAAAAAAAGTATCCAATGTACTCAATACTACTATAAAATCAATATATAACCACCTACACACTCATAGGAATGGCAAAACATAACTATAGTCCAGAAAGTAGAAGGGAAGAGGAGAGAGAGGGGAGAGGAGGGGTTATGGGAAGAGGGAGGTTATTTGAGGGGACCTCACCTAATTTGCTTGATGCAATGGTACATTTCAAAACTATTAAGAAATGAGTATAATCATGATGGATGTGTTACTTAGTTCAATGTAAGCATTTCACATTGTATATCAAAGCAGTACCCTGAGCCCCATAAATGCATCAGTGTGCAAAGTTATGATTTAATAAAAAATAATTTTGAAAATTTATGTTTATTATGTAGATAGAGGGGAGTAAGCAATTATCTCAGTTTGTTGCATTAATTCCACATAAGAATTTTTTATTCTGTGGTTAGTCCCCTTATTAATATGAATGGATATGAATGAACATGAGAGATGATAAATGAACACTCTGGAAGTCTGGTGTGTCTTATGCTGCTTTTGTATTTTAAAAGAAGGCTGGATGTGGGGGTACCGAGCAGATAGATACCCCACTGCCTTGGCCTGGCTGGTGCCTGGCCCCCTCCCCATTTTTCCTTGCAGAGTCTGAATGTTATTTCAGTGAGTGCCATTCACTGTTTGGATTTGCTGAGGGCATCTCTGGTCTCCATGGCAAGGATCCCCCCAGAAACACCTGTGCCTGACATCAGTGCAGTTAGGGTGGGCCGAGGGATGGGGAGACAAGGATTTAATTTCAGTGATGCCATGTATCTTGTCTTTTAGATTAAAAATCCCAACTAATCTCTTCCACATCCCAGTGCAGTGATTTGGTTTTTCCTGTCTGACTATTTTTGTGGTCTTTTATCTTGGACGCTTAGTGCTGTTACTAATCTTCCTTGCAAAATTTGGCTTCATTTCAGCTTCTCTAACAGCAGAAATCCACAGATAACACCCATCAACAAGGTAGGATGGGGCCTTCCTTTCCAACTTAAAAAACATAGTCAATGAAAAACATAAAAGAATTCAAATAACCCACAGCTCTATCACTTAGAATATTCCCATGAACTTTTATTAATGAATACGATTCCATTTGCTTTTGGATTTAGAGGGAGAGCCATCCAGATTGATTTAATGCAGGCAGGACCTTGGATGAGATAATTTCTCAAGGTCTTCCTGACCCTACTATCGGAGGAGGAGATACATAACATATTTTTTATTTTATTTAAATATACATCACGTATATTTTAAACAGCTCTATAGAGATACATGATTCATGCATTGTACAATTCACCCATTTAAAACACATAATTGAATGACTGTTCGTATGTTTGCATTTTTGTGAAACTGTCACCACAATCAATCTTAAAACGCTTTCATCGCGTAAAAAAGAAATTCTGTACCCCTATTTCTAAAAAAAAAAAAAAAAAAACAGGCCTCTAGAATCAGCCTGGGATCCACGCCCTGCAGGGCTGGTGTTGGCTTCGCAGGTTGCTATTGCCCTCTGGTGGCGAATGGCCAGAACTACAAGCGGTGACTAAACTTTCCCGGTGAGATTGAGGTTTGCAGGGCCTGGAGTCAGAGCGCAAGGGGAAGCCAGCATACCAATTCTACACATACTAAAAACTGTACATCAGTACCAAAGTCTATTCAATAAAAGACATTCTTACCTTCATAACGGCCTGGAAGCTCATATGCAAATTGAAATTGTAAGACTCCTCAGAATTCCACGTCAAATGTGGCGACAGGACAATGGTAGGTCTCGTGTTAGCCTCACTCTTCCCAGCCCTGCCCCCCTGCGTACTTCAGGGAATCTGTGTGCTGCGTGCAGACATCCCAGTCTGTCGGGCTAAGACCCAGCTACCCACCTGCAAGGAGCGCACTCCTTCCTTCCCACACACTCACTGAACTGGATTAATGACATGGTTGAGAGGATTATGCAGCCTCAGACACAGTCTTGGAACCATCTGTGTTGACAGTCTTGGGTTCCAGGTATCCCAAGCATTGCCCAGCAGGTGCTGGTGGTGGAGGCTTTGGAAGGGAGGTTGGCCATTCTGCTTCTGTCAGCCCTGGTTTAGCACAGGCAGTCCCCTATCCTGGGAAACACTTCTTCAAGATGCTGAAAGCTCTGCTTATTGCTCTTGCAGCAAAAACTAAAGGAAAAGAGCAAACTCTATATGGAAGCCCCCAAAATAGAGGCTAAGAGTGATGCTGTTTTTGCTATCAAATGAATTATGATATTTAAAAAAAATTATTAAAGGGCAGCACCTGTAGCTCAAAGGAGTAGGGTGCCAGCCCCATATACCAGAGGTGGCAGGTTCAAACCTGGCCCTGGCCAAAAACTGTAAAAAATAATAAATAGATAAAAATTTGTTAAAAATATGTGTTCTGAAAAGATGACATTCAGTCCATAGACTGCACTCAAGGATCCAGAAGGCCGTATGTGGGACTGAGGTTGCAGGTTCCCACCCCGTCTCCCAAAGTCCTTGTCACTGCACCCCCATCCTCACCCTCTGCCACTGCTGGTGCTACAACTGTGGTCTGCAGTTCTCAGTAATGGCTCATCCACCAGGCTTCACTCTAAGTGATCCAGCTAACATGTGCAGCATGGGTGCCCTGTAATCACAAGCACTCACAGCCTGCCTTTGTCTCTGTCTGTGCTCTATCGAGATAGTATGAATTTAGTTTTTCATCCTGTGGATATTGTAATCGTGTTTTCTCAACTCTTTCTAAAAAATTTAGATAATTAAAATGAGGACAATCAAGTGTTATCTGTTTAATAAGTCCCACTGTTAATGACAAATTATTGTCACTGTTAGCGATCCAATTATTACGTTTATAGAACAGAAAAGTATTTCAGAACATAGCCTATTCCACATAGATATTTATTTTTATATTTTGATGACCAAGGAATCATCAAAATATAAAAAATTTTTTATGGTATGGCTGCGTCCCTGGTTGTTTTCCTAAAAGGTTGGCCAATCCTAAGGGCAAATCCCTGTGGCTCCAGGAATCCTTGCCCTCTGAGGAGAGAAGGGCCAGAGTGGGGTCTCAGAACCTACTGTGAATGATTTCCAGCACGGATTGCAGGTACCTTTGGGAAGGAAGAAAGCTGTTTGGAGCAATTAAAGGCGAATGCATAATAGAATTTGGTTTCATAGTCATATAGCTGCCACGGAAGCATGTGGTCCAATAGATTTGTGAGTTTACAAAGGAAATTACTTTGCAAAAAAATTCATTTATTTTTGATGATGCTTACACTCAAGAACTCGGTTTTTTAATGTTACTGGGTAGCAGATGCTAAACTGCAAAAATTAACTAGAGAACGCATTTCAGAAAGCAGTAATATCCGACTCCGTTATTAAGTTTACTGTTAAGCGAACAGAGGAAAAGAAGTGTATCTCTTCCATTAGCAAAGCAAATAGGACATCTGTGCACAAGGAAATGCGAGACAGAATTGGGTGGGCGAAATTCATTGCTGTGGGAGGAATAATTGACTCGTAGGTAAGGAAGTTTTGTATTCCAGATCCTAAGTGGAATAGGCCGTCATAGTTTTTAAGAATTGCTTTTCTTTTTTATCTCCTTTTCCCGTTTCTCTCTCTTTAGTCTCTATCTCCCCTTCCTCCCTCCCTCCTCCCTTCCTTTTCCTTTCTTCATCTTTTTTCTCTTTCTTTCTCTCTTCCTTCTTTTTTACTCTTTGATTAGTTTTGTTTTGATCCTAATCCTGATTAAGAAACAACTAACACGAATTTCAAATGATGAAGAGAGAGGAACGCAGTCTGTGAGCCTCACTGTCATGGCTGAGAGGTGCTTGCATCCCATTTTGAGGGTCCCATCCACCCAAATCTACCCACAGGAATCAGGATAGCATCAGGCCCGTGAGCACCAGGCAGGAAACATCACCTGGTAGCCACGTTATCTAGCTGTTATTTCTTTAATGTTTTTTGTTTGCTTGCCTTGAATATCATCCTGAGTTTTTACTGAGGTCTCCTTAAAATCAGCAAACTAATCTTGGGTGCACTCAGGCACAGCATTGAGAGGAGCGATGTCCCTTGTGCCCACAGCGGTTTAGCAGTGGGGACCACAAAGAGAAGGTGAACACAGCTCGGAGAGGTCAGGGCTCAATGGCTTGTCATCCATGTTCCCAACCTCAGAGTGCTGAGTTTTTGTTTTATTGAGGGAGATGATGTCTTTGTTCCATGTGAACCTCGAGGCATAGTCTTTAGTTGCAAACTACATCAGGCTGGTGTCCCCTCCTCCTCTCAGAATCTCTCACCCAGCCCACTGCTGGGTCCCCTCCTCGCATCTCTCAGGAACAGCTACTGCGTTCAGCATTTTTGATCTCCTCTCCATCAGCATAAAAGGAGGACTCTTCTTCTGTAATACAGAGTACGCGAGAAACACTGTAACTTACCTTAATTCTGGTTCTTCTGTAGGAGGCTAGTGACGGCCAATTTTATGTCAACTTGGCTGGGTCACAGCACTTGGATATGTGGTCAAATGTCATTCAGAATATTTCTGTGGGGGGTTTTATTGAATGAGATTAATATTTAAACTGATGGACTCTGAGTAAAGCAGATTGCCCTCCATAATGTAGGCGGGCCTCTTCCGATCAGCTGAACACCTGAATACAACGCAGATTGACCTCCCCTGAGCAGGAAGGAGTGGGGATTTCCATAGCGGGGGCGTGGACTTCAGATTGGTCCACGCACCTGTCTGGTCCCCCAGCTCTCCAGGTTGCCAGCCCTCCCTGCAGATTTCAGAACTGTCAGCCTCTGTTATCTGCCTGTCTATCTCTCTCTGTATATATAAATATATATATTATACGTACACACACACACACACAGTCCTCCATACCTATAGTTCCACATCTGCAGATTCAGTCAACCATGGACAGAAAATACTTGGAGACAAAAGATAGTAAAAAAAAAATAATAAAAAAATAAAAAACAAATTTAACAATACAGTATGACAACTATTCACATAGCATTTGCATTGTATTAGGTATTATAAGTAATTGAGAGAGGATTTAAAGTTTAGAGGAGGATTTTTTTTTCTGAAGTATGTACCCTTTGAACCCAGAAATTTTGAGAAAACTGTGTGTGTTCCCATCTGTACCAGAAGCTTTCCTTCCACCATCGTACCATAAAGCTGAGGACAGACGCCCCTCGTCCAAGAAATCACACCTAACAGGTGAACTGGGGTCATTTCTTCGTTGTCTCTCAGCAGGGAGGAGCATGAGGCCTGTGTTTCTCTCATTCCCGCCTGTGTTTCTCTCATTCCCGCCTGTGTGTGAGATGTGAGGACAGCAGGCAGATGAAACATACTCTGAAGCCTTCGAAGGATAAAACTTCATGTGCGTCTCTTCCTAACCCATTTAGCATGTCCGGTTTTCCATTCTGTTCAATATTTATTGGAAAGTCCACATCCAGCTCTGTGGTCTGAGTGACTTGTATCTGTCGAAAGTCAGCTGATTACGATTCTGTAGGACGCCTGTTACCGTGAGAGACAAAGGGGGCCTCCATCTAGTGCAGGTCAAGTTTTAAAACCTGAAGCGACCGAGGGAGCCTGTCACGAGTTCCCCAAGGCCCTTGTCATTACCACACATGCCTACGTGATCTCAAGAAAAACCCAGATTCTAGAAAAACCCTTTGCTTGCTTGTTTGGGGTCATTTTATCTTGTGTCCTTATCGAGTGCGGGGAGTTAGAGAGTCAAGCCCAACTTCCACGTTGGTTCTTAGGAGTCCACACCTGCTTCCCTCCCATTCAGGGACACACACGGGACTGAGAGCCACCACCAAGCCCCACATGGTAATTATGCAATTCCTACTTTTACGATTAAACTGTGGCTCTGAAAGATTAAATAACACGTCTGTGAGTATAAAATGGGACAAAGCTGGAGAACAAGTCCAGGTTTCCTGGCTCTGTAAGCCCACGCCTCCATCTGTGTCCCCTTCCCAGCATCCCCACGTGATAAATGTTTATCTCATTGCTGTGCAGACTTGGTGACTGCAAAAAGCTTGAAGGACACAGGTTCCCTCTTGAACTGATATCTACACTGTACTCTGACCCCCAGCTCACAACCAAACATGATTTTGTGATTTTTTCCCCCTTCTATTGCAGGCCCAATCCTGTCTGTTGTCCATCTGCACACCCAGAACCTGCAGATCATCTGGGTTTTTATAAGAGATAGGAAGCTGGGGATTAGTGACTTTCCAAACTCGGTCAAAAACCACATTGTTTAAAAAAGGGAGAGTGAGAATTCAAATGTGGGTCTCACAGTAAAGGCCACACCTTTTCACCTGCGAATGGCGGAGAAGAATGATGTGGCTTCTTCCCATGCAGGTCTCTCCTCTTTCCACCACAGCCCACGCGCAGTCCAGGCAGAGAATGTCTGGGTTTACTGACCCCAGAGCAAATTAAAGGCAAAAAATATATATCTGTGCTCACTTTTATAGATTCAAAAATAAACTTTTTAAGAAACAGAACAAGGACAGCAAGTATGTCGTAGAGCCTGGGCCTTTGAGTGGAGGCTCTGACCTCAGCGATAGGCAGAGAAGATGCTGTCAAGCCCAGTGGTTTCCCTTGGCCACTTAGCCAGGCAAAGATTCATTCTCTGTGAGTCAGAGAAGACACACAGATAGAGCCTGGGGGAGTGTCTCTAAGAAAAAGTTTTGGTCCTGTTCTGCCCACCTCCGTCTTCCCCGGGAAGCTCCTGGGTCATATCTTCTCATCAAGGGCCTCTGAGAGTTGACAGGGTCCGGAATTCTCTTTTCCCTGTGGCGCTGGAGAGTAAAGATGGTTGCTATGAGTTCTAGCCCGATGCTCTCTTATCGTATCCAAATACTCCTAGAGGATGGGGGAACCAGTCAAATGTTTTTCCAAGTGGCATGATGGGCTGGAAGGTCTGAAAGACCTTTTAGACGGGATGATTCATGTGTCCTCCATTTGACCGGCGCCCCGTGGGGAAGAGGGCTTCTTAGCAGATGTCAGGATGACCAGAGGCTGCCCACGATCAGGTGCTCCCCTGGAAGCCGTGACACCATATGAGAGTCTCTGGGTTTTAGAAACAATTCCAGGTATACATGTGTGTGCATGGGGAGGAGGAGAGGACCTCAAATCCACAGAATTTATTCTAACTTGGTCTGATTAAAGCTTTCTGATTTTCTACCGTCAGGTTGATTGAGACTTTGAGATAAAAACTAAGTAAAGGCAGTTACGTTCACTTGCACACTAAAAGCACGTGGATTTACCATCATTTCCACTTGGCTTATTCACTTACCAAGGGGGAAATTCATTCATTTGACAAATGCAGACTTTTGGGGTAAGAAGAAATAATCATTCTTCTAAAAACAGAGGAATTACAGTAGACTTTGAGAATCCGTGTGCCATGTGGAAAAGTCCCATCCGTTCCCACATTGTCAGATACTTGTTTGCACCCTGGTGACGTCCAGGACTTAATTGTTGGCATCTTCTTCCTTCCACCTGAGCATGTCCGGCTCCTACAGCAAACCCAACACCCTCAGGAAGAAAAGGGCTGGTCTGGGGCCAAAGGAATCTGTGCTCTCATCTCAGAGGCAGTGCTCAGTAAGAACTTAATAAAGTGAATTTGTTTTTTAAGGAAATCAACAAGGTTATCTGTCCCCAGGCAATTTTATTTGGGTTTTTTTTTTTTGAATGGTTCTATTACTTGGCAGAAAGAATGAGGAACACTGACTTCTCTGTGGGGTTCTGGATAAGGAGGCGTCCAAACTGCCTGCTGTTCTGCAGGGATCAGCTAGGAAACAAGAGTGTCTGGCCATGTCAGCTCTCCTTGGTGAACCCGACAGCTCACAACCAGGAGAACGTGACTTCTATAGAGCGAAACTTGGAGCAGGGCTGAGTCCTCCTGGGAGGATTCCAGGAGGGACCCTGGTGGCAGCCTCCACCCACCTCCCTCCCTCCCGCAGCTGCGCCGCCTTGTTGGGGAGAGGCAGCCTCTTACCCACTCGGCTGAAGGATGGCCTCTAAGGTTGTGTCCCTGACACTCTTTAGGAACCTCAGAACCGCAGTCCCACCTGTACCCCTTTCTTCTAAAGCCTGAGGTGACCCTGGGAGAGGGCTCGGCTTCCGGCTCCTCACTTTGGCTGCAGCCGTGATGAGGTATCTGGTCACCATGGTAATGTGGTAGCTGCGCAGACCTGCCAGGGCCTCCACACACTGGTTGTAGGCTGCCAGTAGCTGCCGGCCTCCTGAAGACAGGACGTGCTCCCTCAGGGCAGGAGCAGTGCGGATTTCTTCTATGAAGGCCTTATGGGAAGGAGGCATGTAGTCCCTCATCCCGCACAGAAAGTCAGCTGGAAGGAACAACCCAGAGGGACGTCAGGCCCGGGAGAAGCCTGGGAGAGCCTGCAGCTGCTCCAGACCCCTGCAAACCGTGCTGGTGTCTTGTCTGTTTTTCTGGCGCCTCTGTGCGCACATTTTGAAAACTCAAATGCATATTTCTGTTACTGGGAGATGGGGAGGAGCAAAGGAAGCAAGCTCATCTCAGTCAACTCAGCAGAACTTATTTGCCAGATGTAAACAAAGCACCTTGCAGCCAGCGACACCCCAGGACACAATCCTCAAGCTGATGAGCTAATTACTCCCCAATAATTTTGTTGCCTAAATGCTTTGGCCTAGGGGGACTGTTGGGGAAGGTGAAAGTTATACGGTGTCCTCGGCCAAACAAATAAGGAACAGCCAGCTGTTCAGAAGTCAAATCAATCGGTATTTATAGGAAAGTCATTATGTGTTTAGCATATGATGCATGGTAAATCAGGCATTCACCTCACCAAATGTAAAAATCCATGAAAAGTTATCATAGTTTTAGAGAACTGACTTTTATGGAAGAGGCTGGACTCTATGACACTATATTTTACTCACTTTTTTTTTCTAATCCAATTTGAAAGCTCTAAAGCGTGAAGTGCCTGTTATTGCAGCTGTTAAGCCCATCGCTTTGATGCTGGCAAGTAAGGAATCGGGCGATTTCAAGCTTCAGAAACGGTGCACCCCTCTTCTGGTCTAAAGAGATTTGGCGAGAGGTTGCACCATTTTATAGGAAAGGGCTTTCCTGTGGGAGCTTAACCCTCCCCTGCTGGCTCCGGGCTTATCACCATAATGTCACGGCCTTCAGACTCGAGCTCTCTCCCCCACGTTATTTCTTCCTCTCCCCCATTTTGTAACTTTGTCTAAATTGCAAAATGACAGCAAACAGTTGGAGATACAGCAACGCTTTAAGATTGGGAAATGAAACCCAAGATCCTGCCGAGATCTGATATTTTGATTTCAACTGACTGGAAGCAATAACATTTGGCGGGCACAGAGTTTTCAGATTGATTTAGAGGCGTGTGGACTTCGTGACATTTTAATTTATACTGGGTTTTGTCAGTTGCTAGAAAAACAAAAACAAAAAACTCAGTTCTGCCTCCCTCTCCTCTTGAGGGGAAAAAAGTCTGGCTTACCACTTTCCTTGCTATGACGAACGCCCAGGAACTCGTCCAAGGCGTGAAGCACTGTGCTCTGAGCCGCACTCCCTCCTGTGTACTGCAGAGGCTCCTCAGAGACACCTTCATACACCAGCCCTGCGGGCACTGCTGGGTTATCTTTCCATCTAGACAACAGTAAAAGAGGAAAGAAAGGAGTGGTAGGGGTTAAGAGTACATTTTCTGATATACAAGCTAAGAGTGAGCACTAGAGGGAATATGATTTCAGTGGTAATTTTAGGGCAAAGGATTGGGTGTCCTCATAGAATAAATATGGAAGCAACATCTTAACCCCAGCTTCAGAACATGCCAGAAGTTTGCAGCCCTCCTCTCCCTCATTTACAAGATTCTTTCTGCAGTGGCTCACACCTGTAATCTTAGCACTTTGGGAGGCCAAGGCAGGAGGATCTCTTGAGGCCAGAAGTTCAAGACCAGCCTAGGCAACATCGTGAGACACCCCCCCCCCATCTCTACAAAGAATTTAAAATTAGCCTGGTGTGGTGGCAGGTGCCTGTAGTAGTAGCTACTCAGGAGGCTGAGGCAGGAAGATTGCTGGAGTCCAGTTCAGGGTTTCAGTGAGCTTTGATGACACCACTGCAGTCTACCCAGGGCAACAGGGTGAGACTCTGTCACAAAAAAAAAACAACAAATACTGGGTGGTGCCTGTGGCTCAAAGGAGTAGGGCAGTAGCCCCATATGCCACAGGTGGCAGGTTCAAACCCAGCCTCGGCAAAAAAAAAAAAAAAAAACACACAAACATTCAAAAAAAGAACAAATACAGACACACAAATACAGAGACACACACACACCTGTGCCCTTCCTGAAACGATGACAATTGTAATAGTTGTCACATTAAACTATCAGTTCTAGATATTACCTGAGTCTGTGAACTCACCTTTACCTAACACCCTGTTCACAGCAGGTACTGATAAGGGCAGATAACAAGGGTGGGACAGGGAGTGCAGCTTGCCAGGCTGACGTCAGGGGACACAGAGGCCTAGAACTGGGGCTCTGGCCATGCCAGACTAAGTGTGAGGTCCTCTCCTCCCACCCTGGCCTTCCTTGCCCTCCTCCCTGCTCCCTCCTTTCCTCTCCTCTGTCTCTCTGATGCCCTTTCTTCACTGTCTTCTCTGGGTCCCCCATTGCTGCCACATCTGTCCTGATCATTTCTCTGCATCTGACATTTCATAGCATCCTGAAGACTCAGAGGGGGACGTGGGCATCTCTGTGATGAGAACAGTGGCACGGACAGCACTTTCCACTTTATCAAGCCCCTTCACGTTCATCTTCTCATGGGCCCTCCCATAACTAAGTCAGCGCAAGAATTCTTTACCCCACGTCATAGATAAAGAAACAAAGACTCAAAGAAATTAAGTTTCCAGGAATACATCGTCCAAGAGCGATAGCACCAGAACTTGAACCCCAAATCTGTGACTTTCTATTTTCATTTTCTCAAAACTCCTTGGGTGGACCTCTGTTTTCACTAAGGAAAAGAATCTTTTCCTCGTATGATGGGGAACAAGCTACCTTCTCTGTTATGAGCTAGCCTAACAGATCTACGCTGGAGTTTCACTTTCTTCTGGTAATTTGAAAAGTCATCTTGCTCAAGAGAAGGACACCCCCGCTACACACTTGCAGAGGGCACAGGCAGACTGTCCTGGGTGCAAACCCCCACCTTGTACCGGTATTGGCCTGAGGCTGGGGATGCCACAGGGAGTGAGCTTGGTTTCTTTGGGGCTATTTTGGGTTGGCTGGTCTGTGGCTTCCTCCGGCTGAACAGCAGAGTGACTTCAGAAGTTGGGGTAGCATCACTGTGAAAGAGATGATGTTCCAAGGACGGATTTCTGCCGTGAGGTCCCCACAGGCCACCACCTTGTGGTGCTTCACCTGCAAGCCTTGGCTTCATTCACCAACCTGTGTGCACCTCCCGTTCCTCATCCCAGCAACCCTAATGTGCCGTGTAAACTAACACACCACCAGCCTGGGGCCAGGAACTTACTGAGCATTCAGTACAGGGTAGGCATTTTATTTAGCGTGAACTGAAATCCTTGTTCTCTCCTTTCATTATCTTGAACTTTGTGAAGATTTTTCTGAGTCTCAGTTTCCCCAGTTGTCCTACAGTGACATGAGCTCCGGAGAGGTTTTGTGAGTTGTTTGATTGTTAGTTTTTATATGTTCTGTTGTCTCGCATAAGCAAATATGCAAAAAAATAGGTGGGGTCAGGTGACTGTCACCTTTCGGAGGTGACTGTCAACCAGGGCTCTGACAGTATTCACAGGGAGGAAACATTACAGATGTAACTTCTTTTGGGTGATGGGCGGCCCAGCCTGGGCACACTTGCCCAGGTCTCTCTCTGCATCTCGGACCCCTTCACTGGCTCCTCTCTGTCCTGACCACTCTGACACGCTGGGTTCTGAGTAGGGTCAGCCTTTGCCCTCCTCATGACTCCTGCTTCCCATGGCTAGCCCCGTGCATTTAGAAACCAATGATATTCTGGCTATTCACAAATCTTCACCTACAGCTGGACCCGTCCCCTATATTCCAGAGGGTACATTGAAGCCACACTGAAGGGGACAGAATGCATACCAGCGTAACAGTCCAGAAAGATAAAAGAAGTATGTCTCCTTTCAGAGCTTTTACCAGCTCAGTAATTCTAATCTGAGGAGGGAAATTGTGTTTCTCTGAGCAGCCCAGTGACTACTCTGGTGTATTCTTAGGTCCAGGCCTCTGTGGGAAAAAAAAGGAACTGTTTTCCTTTCAAATCTCTGTAGGCAAAGTTATTTTTAGGCTTTTCCTGTAGCATATTTCTAGCAACCCCAAGAAAAGGGGAAGTTTAAACAGAATAAACAAACAAACAAGAGACGATGACATTTCCCCCCCGCCAGGGGCTAACATCACTGAGAAATTTAATGAAGTGGGAACTAAAGGGAACGTATTTCATCTACACGTGAGATCTCCACTCTCCAAAATAAAAATGATGTTTAAAAAGGAAACAAAAAATAATAAAACAAACAGAGGACACATCAAGGACAGAGGAGTAAATTTCACATTTTTCAAGATGATGGAAACCCTCAGCTATCCAGATGTTTGGGCCATCTACAGTCACGAAAACATTTGGGGTTTAGTACTGGCTCCTCAGCAGCATGCAAAGCATTTTGACCATCAGAAAGAGCAGGGAGGCATTTACATATATCACAGATAAAATTCACTGACCCAGAATTTATATTTTGATAAAAACAAGGTCACCCTCTAGGGCCCATTTCCTCATGAGCCTGCAGGATAGGGTCCATCCTTGTCAGATACTCTGACATAAGGAAGAGCAATAATTTGTTTACTCCCTGGAAAGATACAGTGGCTAAGTGGAATTCTAAAAATAACTCCCCAAGATTCCCATCTAATCGCCAAGGCTGTTGATATCATGAGACTTCACACCTGTCCATAGGATGCATTACATGGCACAGGGAACTTTGCAGATGTAATTAAGGTTACTAATCAGTCGGCCTCAACATTAACATAAAGTTTCTTGTTGGATTACGTAGGTAAGCTGAATCTGATCACACAGAACCTTTAAAAGCAGAGGGTTTTCTCTGGCTGGTGGCAGAAAGAGAGGTTGGAGGCATCCTGAGCACTGGAAGGGTGGGAAGGGGCCCAGCTGGGATGGAGAAGCTGTGTGATGAGGAATAAGGGGATCTCGGGATGCTGAGAGCAGCAGCTGTGTGCTGGCCAGCAAGGGGAGGGAGCTGGGGGCCACGACTATGAAAACCTGGATTCTGGCCACACCCCACTGAGTTTTGGAGCAGATTCTTTCTTTCCCACATGTTCAGTGACGAGCCCAGACAAAAGGACTGGGGCCTCCTGAGACCCAAAACAGAGAACTCTGCTGAGCCTGCAGAGCTTCCAGCCTACAAGACTTTTTAAAATGTTCAACTTGTGGTTCATAACTTCGTAATCAAACAATGAAAAACTAATACAGATTTAGAGAATAGAGTGAAGCAAAAAGAGATTTTCCAGGACTGGGTGTCTTCCTCTCCCAGTCTACTTCTAGAACAGCTTGCTATATGGTACCGTGAGATTTTCGTAAAATGGCCTTTTTATTTCTAGTGAAATCCTACCACAGGTATACAGAGAAAGCCCAAGTTCTGAGACGCACTTCCAACTCCGCCTCCGGGCCCTTGCACCCTTCTGTATAGTTCACAAACCCCGTACCTACAACCCTGGAGTAACTGTATGGAAAGGTTCTGGCTTCCTCTTTCTACCCTTATAACAGAGATTCCCTGCTCAGGCTGGGCTCCCCCTGAAGCATCTCACACTTCAGAACTACCCAAGCTGAAGGAAATACCACACTCAGCATGTGTTACCACACTGTTCTTCCGTGGAATTGGATCCACAGTAGACGTCGTCAGCTGGTGGGTCTCTTGCTACCGCCAGACCCAGCCTCAGACCTTTCTGCTGCTACACGTCAGCCTCCCCCTGGTGAACAGGAGACCACACTAGAGGGTGCCTATTTCACATTTTCACCTCATCCATCCACTGTCTCCACCTTCTACTTTACATCCTTTTAAAAATACTTTTTTAAAGCAAAACAAACAAACAAACAAAAAACCAAACAGGAGATCAAGAAGAGGAGAAAGGACCAGAGGTCACATGTGATGGTGGAGAAGGGAAATCGATATCATGGAGACATTACTATCTAGGCCTCATATTGAAGATATTTTGAGGTTCCCCCCCCCTTTCTAAGAAACAAAGAGCCATAGACAGGAATCTGGGTATGATAAATACACCCCAGGTCACAAAACTCACAGAGGCCCCATTCTATGAAGAGGAAAGAGCAACCTACAATAGCTGGTGTGAGGAAATCCCCTCCCGGAGGGCCCATGGTCTAATGCCCTCACCTTGACCATCATGTTTCAACACCTGAACTTAGGAGGAACATAGACATTCAAGCCGTGGCAGGTAGCTCTTCCAGGAAATCTAAAAGGAAGATTTTATGCTACTGCCCAGCCCTCCACCTGCCTTGATAACAAAGAAACAGTGAATGTAAATGGTAGAACTCTGCAGGTGACGCACTACGGGTTTTTAATGTCAACAAGATAGAATTCTAAGAAAAGTGAGCACAGATAGGTCTCAGTGGCCTCGGGACAATCAATCTGAGCTTGAATAGTCACCGCCCATAGTGGGTCCTGCTGATCACTTGGCTAGCAGGGCTCACTGGGTATGCTTCTTACTCTAGAGAGCATCCGTCTGTTGCTCCCCTAATAAATTTGAACAATGCCATAGAGACCTCAAGTATAAAAGCAGCTGCACTGGACTTACCCAGAGAGGAAGATCCGGATGACTGCATAAAATATGTCTGGATCTACATAATCTGGAGAAGAATCAGAACATGAACTTTACTACATGCAAAAACAAACAGAAAAAGCAATTCGTTACATGTGCACAGACCCGGCGACTCTCCTGGGGCTGCCTCCTCTATCTGATCTGCACAGAGACCCGGAATGAGAGGAGCGGCCAGAGGGAGCTGGAATGTCCTCTCCCGCAGTCCCCTCGCGGCGCTCACAGGACCTCTAAACTGTCCCATGTGCTGCCCTTTCCCCCCTCTCTGTGCTTAATAACAACAACAAAGAGATCAAGGCCATCTTTAAAAATGTAACATTTTAAACAGATGATATTTGAGGGAATGTGGGAAGTGGAGAGCAGAAAACCAGAGAGAATTACCTCCCTGAAAGCTTTCATAAGAAGGGGAAATTAAACCCATCAATACCCAAGTGAAGGTCTGTGCAGTCAAGCAGGGCACAGGAATGGACTGTCCCTTGCCTTAAGCACTGCCACACCAGGTCAGAGACAGACTCACTGAGCTCCGCAGTTAGCTGTGTTCATTAATATGTACAGCTGGGTTTGAAGCTGTGCCAATGTTAGGGGACAGCTGATTCCCAGAGCTTTATTAGCTTGTGTATAAGGAAGCATGTCTTACTATTCATCCTGCATATCCATCTTTGCAATAAGCCAGAAAACTTAGAAAATGTAAGTCTGCATAATTTAGTAGTACGTACGGGGTTGTTTGTTTATTAAAGTGAGGACCTGTATTTTCTCATCTCTTTGCCCAGGCAACAAGTGAGACTCATCTCTGCAAAAATATTAAAAAGAACTAGACCAGATGTGATGGCTCACGTCTGTGATCCCAGCACTCTGGGAGGCCAGAGGGAGGATCTCTTGAGCTCAGGAGTTCCAGAGAAGCCTGAGCAAGAATGAGACCCTGTCTCTACTAAAAACACAAAAAAATTAGCTGGTCCGGTGTCATAGCAGGTGCCGGTAGTCCCAGCTACTCAGAAGGATGAGGGGGAGGATCACCTAAGCCTAGGACTTTGAGGTTGCTGTGAGCTATTGACATCACAGCACTCTATCTAGGGTGACAGAGTGGGACTGTGTCTAAAAAAAACAGCTGAGCATGGTGACACCACCTGTAGCCCCAGCTGCTCAAGACACTTAGGTAGAAGGGTTCCTTGAGGCTGGCCTAGGCAGCAGAAAAAGACTTTGTCTCTAAAACTAAGTCAGTAAGTAAATAAATGAATAAATGAATGAGGCTTTATATTTTCTCATCTCTTCTTTTTTGTATTAATTAACTTGAGTTTGTTTGTTTGCTTGTTTTAAGCTTTAATATCAAAAATTGCTATTGTTTGGTTTACCTAAACGGATGTCTAAGTGATCTTTGAAGGGTTCTCTAATTAATAAGGTGGAAGCCATGCATTTCCCAGGTACAAACTGAGCAGAAACATTTTCTTTTACCAGAAGGAGCTTTTTTTGGCATATGTGAGCTAATCACTGACTCCCCGCCCCCGTGCAAAAATAATATTTATTATAGAAAATTTAAACTGGAAAAAAAGAAGTGGGTAGTTAAGCAAAATATGTCTATTTTTATGAAAGTGTGTGCATGTTATGCAGACTATTCTGTAACCTATTTTTTTTCACTTAGCAACATACCATGAGCATCTTTTCCAGGTCAAAAACATTAACATAATTTTATTATCATGTGAAATTAGACAAGAGTGCAGTGTTAATTACTTTCTGATTGAGTTTAGGCAAAATATGTTCCTTCCACAGAATTAAGTGAACTCATCAGAAGTTCCCAGTACAGTTTAGCTCCAATTTACTCATAAGAAATCTAAACTCACGCACACAGCTTGAGTCTTCACCGCCTTTAAGAACATTCTTAGGGCGGTGCCTGTGGCTCAAAGGAGGAGGACACTGGCCCCATATGCCGGAGGTGGCGGGTTCAAACCCAGCCCCAGCCAAAAACTGCAAAAAAAAAAAAAAGAAAGAAAGAAAGAAAATTCTTACGCCTGTCAGTGGGTCAAGCAGAAGCTATAAATCCTGTTATCTAGAAGGAAATAAAGGCAAAGATTTCGGGGGTTTTCAGAGAGAAAAATATCCTTCGGCTTTCTGAGGAGAAAACTAATTCTTAGGGAACAGGTGCTATCCATACACTGGCCACCAAGTGCGTCTGACCCTTATCCTCACACCGGAACATCTGAGAACTGGTTGGCCTTCCCACAGATCACAGAGCTCGGACCTAGCTGAGCTTGTAAACCGCCAGTTCAGAAGGAAGTTAGCCATAGCTGCTGTAGACACGTGGTGGTGGAAATGCCATGGGCAGCTATGAAGCCATTTCCTGCTGGGCTCTGCATGCGTGCAAAGGAATCAGAGGCAGAGGGAAGAAAGGTCCAGCCAAGCTCCACTTATCCCACAGAAGAAAACTAAGGACCATACACCAGAGACAGTCACTGGAGAATGCGTGTGATTCCCTGCAGTTTCAAGTATCTGCCGTTGTTTTTATAACTTCATTTTTGTTTTTATCGCTGCGCAGAAACTACTTGAAACTTAATGGCATAAAAGCCACCGAGACATCCCGCTGGTCGGAATCTGGGTAGGACACAGGGAGAATTCTATGTCTCCACGCCACGGTGTCCAGACAGTTGGAAGACTTGAAGATGGACAGCAACTGAGGATGGGGCATAGAGTCCTCCGTTGATGAGCCAACTTGCCAGGCAGCAACTGCAATATACCTATAGACTTCTCTGCATGCCCCACTTCTCTCACACACAGAATGGGGCAGGCCAACTTTTTACAGTATCCAAGGTAGAAGTTGCATCACCTTTTCTACTGTTGCCCCAGAAGTCACCTGCTGCCCTCTGCTTCATTCTGTGGGCTACAAGCACCACGCAGATGTGAGCTGGATTTAAAGGGGTGTCCACGCCATGCCCTGGAAGAGCGCGTGGCAGGGCACAGGGGAGGGTGCTGTTGTAGCCATTTTTGGAAAATTTAGTCTGATACATTCATCTCTTTTATCACATACATGATGGTGACCAGTAGGGAAACATTTAAAACAAATTACAGTAGAACCTCCCTAGATGACCACCTCTCCACACTCACTACCTCCTTAAGTTGACCTAACTTCATAGCCTGACAGGCGCCACATGCCTAAGTCCTTATGTCGACCACCTCCACATGTTGACCAGTTTGTTACGCTCCCTTGGGTGCTTGACCCACAGAGGCTCTACTGTATGTATGTGTGGGGAAATTTGTCTCTGGGGGAAAAAGGGAGGTGGCCTGGGACCTCCCCAGACCCTCAGCCACCATGCAGGGGCTAATCAGGAGGCTTGGGACAAATGCGCAGCGAGCCACCTTCCTGCGGTGTGCACTGAGACAGGCTGAGAGTCTCTCTTAACCTCCCAGAACCGCCCTCTGTGCTCAGCCGCGAGCTCTCGTGATAACTGCACCGTCCTAAGTCATCTTCCACCCCAAGTAAGGAAAAGCCAAAACAGGTCTCATCTGGTGTTAGCTTGGCAAAGCCACGAACAAACTTAGGGGAATCGTTTGGCAGGAGAACTACTGCTATGGTGATCAAGGTTCTAAAGTGAAAATCTGAGGAAATGGAGAACATGAAACATACACTATAAGACAGGGAGGTTGGGTAGAAGCAACACATGATCCCGTGTCGTCAGCTGGAAATGTCCTGGTGACGACATATAAAATTTGCTCGGAACAAAGACTAAATAAAGGTGATGAAGCCCCTAGCCCCCTCTAGGCTCTTTCTCCCTCCCATCCTGTTTCCTGGGAACACCCTCTTTCCCCAACAACTTTCTTTCAGTGAAGCAGGATTTGGGGAAATTGATACCCCATTCTGCTTTTCCCTTAACAGGTCACACCCCTCCCCACACACCGTGCTCACACCCACCAGGCACACCCACCAGTCAGATTTCTCTGATAGAGTGGGGTGAAGAGCCTCCCAGGCCCAGAGACTCAGCTGACCACACCTCAATAACAAACACACAGGGGCTCTCCAAACATAAAGGTTCATTCCACAAGAGGGCATTGCAGTGGGACCACGTGTGCATTCCACGAGATAAAAGGAAGACACAGGGGGCAGCGCCAGTGGCTCAGAGGAGTAGGGCGCTGGCCCCATATAGTGGAGGAGGCAGGTTCAAACCCAGCCCCAGCCAAAAACTGCAAAAAAAAAAGAAAAAAGAAAAAAGGAAGACACAGGTCTTCAAAGGAAAAAACGAGGAAGATTACATCACTTATTAAGATAATTATACTTGGCTATAAAGAACAATAACAAAGGCAATGCTGATTTGAGGATGGACAGGGCAGCGGCCGGTCAGACAGCCTTACAAAAGTGTGTTTTGTGTAAGATTGTGACTGGTGGCCTTTGTGCAAGGTTGTGGTTTTTGCAGAGTCTTTTCTGATAGTTTAGTTGTCAGGCATGAGAACCCTGTCTTCTGAGCCCTCCTTGGCTCTATCTGTCAGATTTTATTTATTTATGTATTTATGTGTTTACTTATTTATTTATTTTTGGTTCGCTTTTGTCAAGTGACTTTATTGATTATGACAACTCACGCTTGTCCTAGTCACAGCTGCCCATTAGCTAGGTCCACAGGTCAAAGTGGGAAGAGAAAGAATGAACGGGACACCCTGGAGTGTGGAGACAAACACGTCACCCCCGTCCAGTCTCACTGTGTACCCCAGAACCTCTTTCCGCGCTCAGACAAGGCCTCCACTTGCCGCAGAAGTCTCTGGCCACGGAAGAGGAGAAGCTCTCCTATCACAGGAGACTATAAAGACCGACAAAGCCGGGACAGTAGCTTTGCACATGGAGCAGTCGCTCTGCGACAACGCCACGGCCAAGTACAGCGCCTTAGAACAGAGACAGTCCGCCAGCGCCACCTGCCGGCCAGAGATACCGTCAGCCACCCAGGATGCGCCCGGCCGGCCAAGTCGCCAGCCTCGGTAGCCTTCCAGAGCACCCTACATCCTACCGTGCATTTGTCCCAAGGCTGTGGTCATGGCCTCTATGGAGAGTCTCAGTTGCTGCAGGGCGTGGAGCAGGGCGTCCTGGCTGCGCTGCGAGATGGCATTCACGGCCTGAACGAGAGCCTGGGGATGAGATTCCTACACTCAATTCATGAACTCTCGATTAAAGCCCACTGGTGGGGCTGGGGAGGGGGGAAGGAGGGCCACTCCGGACAGCTGACCAGAGTGCCCTGAGAGCATTCTCCACTAGATCTATCTGCTGTGGGGTCTGCCTCAGGGCTGAGAGCTTGCCGGGCACCTCCCAGACAGACCCCTGTTTGGGTTTTTCTGTCTTTCCACTGGCTGCTAATTCTTGTCCCTCTCAAGGCCTGAATTCTTTTATTCTGCCCATTTCTTCTTCATGATTTATTGTACATTATGTTCATTTTTACTTCTGCATCTCCAACCAAGGCGTCATCTCTCTGAAGCTCCATCTTCCATAAGGCCAGACAGAGCTCCCTCTGCCCAGAGCGTCCCTGCCTTACAACAGTCTTATCTGAGCCTCCCAGGGAAGCCACCATTTGACCCTGTACCTTCCAGTGAACTAGTTACATGAATGAGGGCGAAAGTAACTGTACACTTCCACTTCTGATGGTGAAAAAAGGTGTAGTAATAATTGAGCCAGGAGACCACATCCACTCAGCATATGCTCCCTGGTGAAGGCAGTGAGCGAAGGATAAATCCACCTTAAATATCTTTTTTTATTGTTGTTGTCATTGTTATTTAGCAGGCCTGGCCGGGTTCAAACCCACCAGCCCCGGTGGAAGTGGCCACCCTAACCACTGAGCTCCAGACACTGAGCCTTGCCTTAAATATCCTGAGAAAAGGCACAAAGGTGCTGGCTGATCACACTGGCTTTTTTCTTGCCTGGCTTTTATGGTACCTGTCTGATCCTTGAAGAAATTCAAGTTTGCAACCCCTGAGTCTAGATCACCCCAACGATGCCTTCCAACTCTAAATATTTTTCATTTCGTTTTTCCCTTGAGCTTTTTCATAGCTGTTTTCTAGTCCAGGAATAATATAATAAAATGCTTGTGTTTCTCTCTCTCTCTCTCTCTCCTCTCATTCTGGTTTTGATTTCATTTCTCTACAGAAGCTCTGCCTTGACCCTTCAAATCGGGATTAGGTTTTAGCTGTCTTTTTATGAAACCCCACACTTTTCTTTATTACCCCTTATCACCCTATCATATTCTATTTTCTTTCGCTGGTGAGCTCCTGGAGGGGCTGGGACAATGTCCATCTTCTTCACTGTGATTTTCTATTACCCAGAACAATACCTGTTTGTTTGGTGGACAAATGGTCAATTCCAAATTTTAAAGGAATTAAGAAAGAGGAGCTAACATTTCTCAGACTTGAGCTAAGTAAGGCAAGGCCTGTGTTCCACTGTTGAGAAACCTGCGTCAGGGGTAGGACAGTAAAATTCAGATTGATTTCTCATTTAAAAGAATAAAGAGAGTGAAATGAGAAGATACCTGAATCCCAGGCGCTGCTGCTTTCTCTACCAAAGCAGTCACCAGTACGAAACCACGAAAGCTCTCTCCCCCGGGAAATGAGATGATGACCTCCAAGTTCCTTGGGAAGGAGAAGACCACAGGGTTAGCAGTCTGGAGCAGGTGCTGTGACTACTCACTGCCTGGAGGCACTACGCTCCCCTCCCCAGGTAGACAGCGGCCAGGTGGAACTATGAGCAACTTTCTTTTCTGCACAAGACAGGCTGGCCTGTGAGCATCCACCTTCAGCAGCATCCAGGCAGGAAACAGAACAGATCCGTTCAAACGTATGTTCACCTGACTGGAGGGCTCGCAGAGTCTAACATGGCCTTAAGGTGTTAGACTCAGTTACCTGCTTCTTCACAGGAGTGCAGAGCCAGTTACATGACCCATTACAGTCTTCCTGTCGAAAGCCCCAGTTTCAGAGCCAGAGCAATCCCAGGCTATAGCTGAGGCCATGCTCTCTTTTTACAGGTATGAAACTATGGCCCAGAGAAGCAAAACAGCTTTCCCAGGCCTTACAGTGGGACTAGGCAGGGAATAGTTCCATAACTCAGGCCAGTGCTCCTCTTAAGATGTGATATGTGAGTGTGTGTGTGCATATAGGTATATGTGTGTGTGTGTATATAACATATGTATATATATATATATGTAATTTTTTATAAATACATATATATACAATTTTTTAAGCCAAATGTAACAGAGTGGGAGCTGGAAGGCTGTTACAGAGACATTTTTAAATGGTCTTCTGTTGCTTTGTGGATCCAAACAGCAAAACCTAATAATTTTCTAGGCCACTTTTGCCTTTAACATTTTAAGCATGAGAAAAGATGAAAAACAAACCAAAATCTAAGTTAGGACCTTTGTCATTCCAGCAGGGTACATTAGCTTGGGAAGTGACGTCTGCACCTTCCGTGCCCCCTCTCTGAACTACAGCTTTAATTCTCAGCTCCTTTATTTGATGGATTTGCTGGTAGGAAAGGTGACATCTCAGAGGCTCCTTTTGTTCTCCAGGGAAAATGAACCCTAAGGAGACATCTGGTTCAGCTCTGCCTATGAGTTCCACTCCCGGTAACCACGAGATATTTCAGAGGGATTCTTCTCTACCCACTGACTGCCCTTTCACAGAAGTTACAGTGAAATGGGAAATCTTTCAGACCATCAGATTTCAAAAAGTCACAGCAATGTGGTGAAGTTTTCTTCCCTAGCATTGCATTTTATTTGTTTTATTATGTACAAATTGGGAAATACAGTGAAGAAAACGAACCCCCTAATCCCTCCAAGGCAGAGGCACTGCTGTAAGCTTTTTGGACTATTAATTTGGGGCACATTTTCTTTTAGTCTTGTTTTTTATGCATTTTACTTAGTCGATCTCCTATATATGATCTGGTATGCTTTCCTTTTTGTCTTATCATAAACTTTCTAAAGTTAGCACGGATTTTAGAATGAGCATAGGATTTCTGAGAGCTTACCTGATTTCCAGGGGTCTGGTTCAATTTCAGTTATTGGAAGTCCCCAAGAGAAAGAGAAAGTAAAAGAGCAATTTAGTCGTAAACCAGCTGTGCCTCCTAGGGTCACACGAACACGGCATTGCTCATTCAAGTTTGATGCACCTGCAGACATACTTTGGATGCCAATGGCTGAGAGATGACTATGGGCCCCCTTATGATAAAGGGGGAGTCAGGTCTCAACTCACATGCCAGCCTCAGAATATCTGGCCTGTAACCGTTAGTTATTCCAACCCTTTTATATCTTTGTGATTATCACAAGCCCGCATTTTGGTTCTTGTGATTTTACTCCTCCTTATCTTTTACAACTTGCCCCAGATCAGCGGTTCTCAACCTGCGGGTTGTGACCCCTTTGTAACGATGAAAATACATTGCAGCATTAGGAAGGTTGAGAACCGCTGCCTTAGATCAAGTCCTGCCCCCACACTCAGCCTTTCGCTGATGTTTAAAGGCTCCATTGATGTCATTTCTCCGAAATTCTAAAGGACATGTTGTTTGAGTCACTCTGACATTTCTATGCTGCTTTGTCTTGGTATTTGACCATCTGGGCAATACTTCGCTTCTATTTTTTTGCAGTTTTTGGCCAGGGCTGTATTTGAGCCCGCCACCTCTGGCATATGGGGCCGGCGCTGCTCTACTCCTTTGAGCCACAGGCGCCACCCTATTTTTTTCCTTTCTTCACAGCACTTAGCTCTGTGCTAGGAGACTCCAAGAGATAATTACCAAGAAAAATATCTGGTCAGATCCAGGACAGTGTCTCCCTCTCTGGGGTTAAGCTAGCCCTGCACACTCGTTTCCTACGAAACTAGCTTTTTGTTGTTTTATTCTCAACTTTACCATCCCCAGACAGCCATTTGCTCCTTAATCTTCCTTTCTTCTCTCTGAATTACAAATCCAACTTATCCAGTGTTCAATGCCCCGACCAGACTTGTCACATATATTTATTATTTCTTTTTCAGCCAAATTCTGTGCCAGATTCAGCAGTTTTCAATGGTCACCTATTTTGTTGTTAAAGCAGAAATGGTCAATAATTATAGAAAAGATAAACTACCAGGGTTCTGAGATTTTTAGATAGATGGGGTGGCCCCAGCTCACTTCTTCCAAGTGGCATATAAATTGAAGTCTAAGCTCCAGAAGTCTAAGCTCTCTATTAATTGTTTATTCCTTTAAAGCAGATTCCCATCATGTCCTCTCGTAAACCCATGGTATCTCTTGTAATTGCAGAAATCAAACATGGCCTAAGGATTACAATTTTTTTTTTTTTTTTTTTGCAGTTTTTGGCTGGGGTTGGGTTTGAACACACCGTCTCCGGCATATAGGGTTGGCGCCCTACTCCTTTGAGACACAGGCGCTGCCCTGTTATAATTTTAATACAGTTTTTTCCTTTCTTAAAATATATAGACATTTTTTGGCACCCTCTATAGTATATGATATATAAAATATATGTTACATATAATATATATGTTATTATATAGTGATATGTGTTACATGTGATATATAATATGTGATTATACATAATACATATGTATTACTGTTAGGACCTAAAGTGCCCCTGAGAGACCATGCACATATGGAAAACTAAGGAGTTTTATTTCTTTATCGGGCATATGTTTGAGTCACTCCCACCATTAGAGTGGTCGCAGAAGAGAGTGGCCCCAAAACAATGGTCAGGGAAGCTTTTATACACTTTCTCACAGGGTACTATGGGTTGCAATAAAATGCTAGGGAAGGTGGCTGGGGAAGAAGTCAGTGTCCGATCAATCACCTATTGGTCATTGGGGAGACCTGGGGCTCTGACAGGTCGACTGTCTTTCCGTGGTTGGGGTCTCCACTGGGGTCAGTAGTGTGTGAACTTATGATTGGTCGTTGCTACCTGGGCTATTTACCTGATTTATAGCCTGTGTCTGTTGTGGAGCTTCCTGTGGTCCCTGCCCCCCTTTTCCTCCTTCCTTTCCTCAGTTCTTTGTTCTTCTTTTTTTATTATTGTTATTAATCTACAAAAAAAAATGGAGTCACTGCTGCCTCTTCATTACATCACTATATCACATATCACTATATAATGGTCACACTTTGAAGCTCCTGGTTTTCACTCTACTTCAATGGAAGGCACATTAGGGAACAAACAATTTGATAAAGTCTGATTGTGTAGGAACTTGCTTGAAGGTCCCATTGGGACATTCAGATATGATGTGAAGAGCAAAGCAGGAAACGTGGTCTGGGCCCAGGTATTCAGAGAATACCTTCTCCCAGGTATGGGAGAAGAAACTTCCGTGATATCTGAACTTGAATAAAAACAGACAATAAACATGAACATCCCTAATAATAACTAACTGAAAAGTCCTGGGTGTTTCCTGTGGGAAAGTCACAAGACAGAATTTCATTCTGTCAAAATTCCAAGCATAATCTCCCTTCCTTACCCTGCCAGGTTCCTTCTGGCCCAGTTGGCCAGCACCAGGTCTGCGTGCACCAGGATAGGAGGGAGCCCTAAGGTCCTAGAGACTTCCACCAGGGGCAGGGCAAGATTTCTGGGCAGAACCTTTCAGATACAAACGCAGACAATTAGCATGTTCTAGAAAAGATTCAGCAGAGGAAATAACCATGATTGTCTTTCATTCCAAGAATCCTCTGATAGAGAAACAGCCTGGGGACATACACCACAAATAGACTTTCCTGTTAACAAACCAGGGGTGGTGGCTCACGCCTGTAATCCTAGTGCTCTGGGAGGCCGAGGTGGGTGGATTGCCCTGAGCTCAGAGGTTAAAGACCAGCCTGAGCTGGAGTGAGCCAGAGACCTTGTCTCTACCAAAAAAAAAGCCGGGTGTTGTGGCCAGCATCTTTATTCCCAACTACTTGGGAGTCCGAGGGCAAGAGAATCACTAAAGGAAGAAAAGAAAAAAAAAATTCAAACTAAGATGATTGAAAGCCTGTTGAAAGCAAAAAAAAAAAAAAACTGGTGGAAATAGCATTTATGAGTCCACAGTGCAAAGGATGTGAACATTGCAAAGTTGGATGACATATACACAAGGTATAAAATAACCTCTGAAAACTGGCTCTGCAAAGAAGGGCATTACGGAAAACCTTTAGGACTAAGATGAGCAGGGGGGGCAATCTCTCTAGATATATAAATCGACCTAGGATTACACGTGCATGTCAGGAGACCCCAGCGCCCTGAGAGGCAGGAGGTGAGGAAGAGGCATCAGTGAGAGCAGAAGGTCCAGGCTGAGGCCTGGCTTTCCCACTCATTAGCCATCTGACTGGGGCAAGAAATTTAACTTTTGTGCCCCTCGGCCGTCTGTAATATGGGGATAGGACAGCCCTATTTACTTTTCAGGATTGAGAAAAGCAACCAAGATAACAGATATGCATACCCGTTTAAAATGCTATAAGTTTTGTTGTAGTTTTTTTTTTTTTATTAAATCATCGCTGTGTACATTAATGCAATCACAGGGCACAGTGTGGTGTTTTCATATACAATTTGAAATAAGCTCATCAAACTGGTTAACGTAGCCTTCATGTCATTTTCTTAGTTATTAAGACATTCATACTCTGCTTTTAGAAAGATTCACTTGTACCCTTGTAAGATAAACCATAGAGGTGACCCCACCAATCACCCTCCCTCCACCCATCCACCCCCGCTACCCCCTTCCCATATTCTAAGGCTATAATTAGTTTATAGCTTTCCTATGAAAGCTATAAATTAATTTCAAAATAGGGCTGTGTACATTGGGTACTTTTTCTTCCATTCTTGAGATACTTTACTAAGAAGAACGTGTTGTAGTTGTTTTAATGAATTCTCAGAATCTGCCTTCAAATATAGCCCTTCACACATTCTTGGAAGAGAGTGCCAGAGAAAAAGAGATTCAGATGCTAATTCAAGGGAGTAATGTGCATCAGTTTAAAAGAAAATTAGCTCCCTAATCAAGGGGGGGTGGAAATCATGCTCAGTGGGCCCTTCACCCTGCCTTCCACGGACACTCATGGAAAAGAACCAGTTAAGTGCCCATTTTCCAGGACACCGTAGTGCCCAGCAGAGGGCGCTGCTCCAGCGCAGCGGACCCCTTGCGCGGCACGCGTCTCCCCGCCCCCTACCTCTGCGGGCCGCGCCTCTCCCTCCTGCCACACGTATCCCATGGTGATGACGCTCAGGACCAAGTGGGCCAGGCGCTGTTCCCGGTGACCCTTAAGGAACTGGCAGTTCAGGAGAGGCATCTGGAAAGAGACGTTCCGACAACTGAGAGTCAAACGGGTGGAAACGAGAATGGGCCTTCTTTCCGGGACTTAGAAGAGTCTGGTGGATTTTAAGGGAATTTTACTAAAGGAACTAAGAGCCTGCAACGCATCTTATTATCCCAAGATCTGGGACCCTGCCATGCAGGAGGGTCCCTACGACGTTGTTCAGGACGTAGCTCAGTGCCCCACCCGAACCCCCAAATCATCCCTTGTGGCTGCACCTGTCTCTATCCTCCATCAGGGAAGCTGCAGCTTGGTTACACTGTTACAGAGTAATGAGTTCCAGGACTGAGAGCTTGTACTTCACAGCACCCACCTCTGGGGGCTGTCTCACTGTGCACTTCTGCGTACTTGGGATCATTTAACCCTCTAACAGCCCCGGATTGCAGGCGTTTCTCTCTGCATGGAATACTGAATAGTACCAGGTCCAGTGACGCTAGGAATTTTTATTTTTCAGAACATTAGGGGGGGTTCACATGTTTTGGTTAGTTTGCTTTTATATATTTTAAGGCAAAATTGTAAGTGTGTCCTTTACCCAGAAAGTGTGTGCTGTACCCATTAGGTGTGAATTTACCCATCCCCTCCTCCCCAGCTACTTGAATTCCATTGAGTTTTGCTTCCAAATGTGCAAATAAGTGTTGATCCCCTAGATCCATTTAGTATTGATCTAAGTACCTGGGGGGCTTGTTTTTCCATTCTTGTAATACTCAGAATGGTCTCTAATTCCACCCAGGTGATTACAGAAAATACTAGGTGACTACGTTTTTTATAAATAAGTCGTATTCCATGATGTACATATACTCCATTTTACTAATCCATTCACATATTGATGGGCACTTGGCCTGTTTCCACATCTTTGTAACTGTGAATTGTGCTGCCGTAAACATTTGGGTGGATCTTTTTAATAAAATGTCTTTTTTTTTCCTTTGGGTCAATACCTAGCAGTGAGACTGCTGGATAAAATGGGAGGTCTACTTTGGTTCTTTGAGGCGTCTCCACACTGTTTTCCACGGAGGTTGTTCCAGTCTGCAGTCCCATCTACAGTGCAAGAGTGTTGCCTTCTCTCTGCACCCTGGCCAGCCTCTGTTGCCTGGGACTTTCTGCTGTGCACCATTCGCCCTGGGGTTAGGCTAGGTGATATCTCGGTGTGGCTTTTATTTGCATTTCCCTGATGATCAGAGATGTTAAGCGTTTTTTCAAGCGCTTGTTGACCACTAGTCTATCTTCGTCTGAAAAGTTTCTGTTCCTGTCTTTAGCTCACTTTTTAATCTTGGTGATTTGCTCGAGTCTTTTGTGGATTCTGGTTATCAGCCCTTCATCGGATGGATAGCTAGGGAATATTTTCTCCCATTCTGTAGGTTGTCTGTTTCTCTACTGATTGTGTCCAAGACTGTGCAGAAACTTTGAGCTTGATCAGATGCCATTTCTTTCTTTCTTTCTTTCTTTCTTTTTTTTTTTTTTTTTGAGCCACAGGCGTCACCCCATTTCTTTATTTTTGTTGTGATTGCTTTTGGGGTCTTTTTCATAAATTCTTTGCCTAGGCTAATATCTATAAGAGATTTACTAACTTCTTTTTTTCTGGCATTCTTATAGTTTCACACCTTAGGCTTAAGTCTGAATTAATTTTTGTGAGTGGTGAGAGGTGAGCGTCCCTCCTTCCCATCTGATCTTTGACAAAGCAGACAGAAACACACCCTGGGGAAAAGAATCTCTATTCAACAAATGGTACTGGGAAAACTGGGTAGCCACAGGTGAAAGACTCAAGTTAGGAACTTGACTACACCCCTGCAGAGGTAGCAGAGCTGGGCCAGTGATTCTCCAGCCCTCGTCTGAGCAGCTCCTGGGAGGCTGCTGGGAATTTCACACACCCCATCCCCGCCCTATCCCTCCCCCTTCCTCCCTGTCCCAGTCGGGGATTGACAGCAGCACCACTGTGACACTGAAAGTCGCTGCCATCCTTGAAAGCAACTTGCTGGCCTTCCCCGTTCCACCCATTCTCTGCCTCTGGACACAGCCTGAGCTGGATGTGCCCGTGTGCCCCTCTTCCCGCCCAAACTACCAGAAAGCACTAAGACGCGGGTGTTTGGGGCACCTTCAAGTGAGTGCGAACAGGCGGCTCCTGGCCGGAGTTCAGGACCGAGCACCTGGCGCCACATCCTCCGCTTCCCTCTGGGGGGATGGGGGGGGGACTCTCCCGCCGGACCGCGAGTCCCCCCCCACCGGGCCCCCGCCCCACCTGCTCCGAGACGCCCCCGGCGCCCCTAGACCGGCGTTTGCTCAGGACCCCGCGGGGAGCAGTTATTTATTAAGTAGTTACTGTAAGCCTCTTGCTACCGAATGTCTAAAGCTTGCTGCTGCAAACTTCTCACGCAGGACGGTGTTCCGTCTTCCCCCAAATCCACCGAATGTCTAAAGCTTGCTGCTGCA